GACCGTTATTATACACCCCACAGCTAATAGCTAGTTCATGATACCGAACCATTATTACACACACCACAGCTAATAGCTACTTCATTTTACCGAATTGTTTTTACACACACCACAGCTAATAGCTACTCCAATATACCGAACTGTTATTACACACACCACAGCTAATAGCTAGTTCATTATACCGAAACGTTATTATACACAGCACAGCTAATAGCTACTTCATTTTACCGAACTGTTTTTACACACACCACAGCTAATAGCTACTCCAATATACCGAACTGTTATTACACACACCACAGCTAATAGCTACTTCAATATACCGAACCGTTATTACACACATAACAGCTAATAGCTACATTGGTAGTTCATTATACCGAACCGTTATTACACACACCACAGCTAATAGCTGGTTCATTATACCGAAACGTTATTATACACAACACAGCTAATAGCTACTTCATTTTACCGAACCGGTATTACACACACCACAGATAATAGCTAGTTCATTATACCAAACCGTTATTACACACCCCACGGATAATAGCTAGTTCATTATACCGAACCGTTATCACACACACCACAGCTAATAGCTACTCCAATATACCTAACTGTTATTACACACACCACAGCTAATAGATAGTTCATTATACCGAACCGTTATTACACCCACCACAGCTAATAGCTAGTTCATTATACCGAAATGTTATTACACATTATACCGAACCGTTATTACACACACCACAGATAATAGCTAGTTCATTATACCGAACCGTTATAACACACACCACGGATAATAGCTAGTTCATTATACCGAAATGTTATTACACACACCACAGCTAATAGCTAGTTCATTATACCGAACCGTTATTATACACACCACAGCTAATAGCTACTTCATTTTACCGAACCGTTATTACACACACCACATCTAATAGCTACTTCATTTTACCGAACCGTTATTACACACCACAGCTAATAGCTACTTCATTTTAACGAACCGTTCTTACACACACCACAGCCAATAGCTACTTCATTATACCGAACCGTTATAACACACACCACAGCTAATAGCTACTTCATTTTACCGAACCGTTATTACACACACCACAGCTAATAGCTACTTCATTTTACCGAACCGTTATTACACACACCACAGCTAATAGCTA